AAAACCGTTTCCCTGCCTTTGCCCCACCCAAGAGGTCCCCCCCCCCCCCCCCCCCCCATGTTCTCCCTACCTGTCACTTGTGTTTATGATTGTAAGTCACATTACACCTGCCTGTGCCGAGACCAAAAGTAGTGACGCTAACAAGAATGAAGACAGTCCAGATGAGTTGCATCATTAAAAGCTATGAAATCCTCTTAAGGGAGGAAACTCCACGCAATAAAAAGGTAGAGCTTGCCCAGGGGGAAAGTCTTCTCCAAGCACAAAGCTTGCTTCTTACTCCATTTCTGTCACACCCATCAGTAAAAAGCCGAGTGAACTTCTAAAGGCATCCACCCTGCTTTCTCCATCTCACCACTCTGATAAGCAAGGGTCTCCCTTAGACACAACATTGTTCATATGCACAGAAGTAGGACCACTGGGCATCCTTTCCAGAACCCACTGTCAATTAGTCCACTATGCAGAAAAGCAACTGAGGACAGAAAAGGCTCTGGGCCAAACAGGCATAGTTGAGTGGAATTTTTTGAAGTCCAGTTTTGTTCCCCCTCCCTGCAAAGTCTTTAGATCTGTGCTAGAATGTTTTACTACATGGAGAAAATAGTGTAAGATAGCTATTAAACCATGAATACCCTAACTTCCTGTATTGATAGACTTTTCTACACTAAGGGCCCTTATGTGGAGGCAATACAAAGTAATTAATGCACCAACAAGTTACATCCCAACTTATCTTAATGGGAAAAAATGAGAAAGTCGCCCTTACATAAAAATGCGCAACTGTCCCCAGATCCAAGTCCTAGCTCACAGACCAAATGATCAATAGCACTTTTAAAAGGGCAACATCACAGAATGAACAAGTACTTTTTTTAGAGCAAGCATTCCACTTCTGTACTGCAACATGGGGGTAATAACTTTTACTAGAAATCTGTACTCATGCATGTCCAGACTGAAATGAAAGTGCTACTCTGCTTGCAGCCACCACAGCTCCTGCATGCCTTGTGCTTCAAACAGCAACAGAAGTGGCACCTTTGTTTTACCAGTGGTCCATTTCTGTATTATAAATATAAAGAAGAGTATATGTACATCACCCTCTAAAGCAGGAAAAAACTGTCACTTTTCCAGTCAAGTTGTCAGGTATTTAGCTTTACACCAATATGTGCAAACACCAGAATATTGTTATACCTGCTCACATCACCCTAAACAGTTGCCTCCTATCCATGTTCCTTTGAAATCACTGTTCCACCATCAAATTTCCAGCATTGCAAGATGGTGAAGCTTGTAGGAGCCTAACTGTAATTTGCTGATCCTTTAAAGGAGCCAAGGAAGCACGTGGAGTATCACCAATTCAAAGTCAACTTCACAGCCCTATCAAACTCCAGACCATGACACTCGAGATGCATTTCTCTAAAGGAAAGAAAGAAAGTTTGGGAACAGGAGGGAAGTTTTTATAAAGACAGGAAATTTCTCGAGTAAAATGATTTTTCTTCAAGTCCTTTCTAGTCTCATTTAGAGAAGTCAGCTTGCCATTTAGCATTTGTAGCCAGGCAGGCTGTGTTCTCAGCAGCTCTGCTCAGCACTTGGATGGACAGGCTCCTAGCAAGCCCATGACATTATGAGAAGTGTCACTGACAACTTCACTGGCAATTTATAAAACTTCTGTTTTTGAATCACATCCCCTCCCATCAGTCATTCCTGTACTTGTGTATTCTACCATTGTATTGAAGGACAAATTTCTGAGCTACCCACATCCAGCTTCTAAGTCTCAGACTACTCCCATGAGGACATAACAGGCCTTTGCCTTAAAGAAAAAGTGAAAGCCACAAAAATGTTTGTTTGTTATCTTAAATGTTATACTATGCAAAAACCTGAAACTGAAACAGAGACCATCAGGCTGGTTATTCTTTCTGAAATTCCCCATTTTGCTAAATTAAAGTAACCACAGCTCTAAAGTCCTCATTCATAGCCAAGACCTCCAGGTTAAACCCCAAGAATGATTTCAGCTATCACCTTTAGCAGTATTTTTTAAAGCTGCATCATACTGCATTATTACCCAATTTTAAGTGATCGGAGACATACCAAACACATTTGCCCTCATAGTAAAGATCTTCTGGATCCCATTTGGGATATCCAGCTGCAACTGCATCCCACTTTGTAGCCAAATATCACTAGGGCATAATTAAGGGACATTTATGCCCTTAAAGAATTCATATTATGGCCAAACTTTTCAGAGTTTAAGATTGAGAGAGACAAAACAGCAGCTTCCAACTACCTGAAGGGGGGCTCAAAAGAGGATGGAGCTAGGCTGTTCTGTCATCTGCCACCACTGAGAACAAGGAGCCATGGTCTCACATTACAGCAAGGGAAGTTTAGGTTCTATATTAAGAAGAACTCTCTCACTAGGAGGGTAGTAAAACACAGGAACAGGTCCCCGAGAGAGTTGGTGGAATCGCCATCCCTGGAGGTTAAGACCCAGCTAGACAAAGCTTTGGCTGGGATGATCTAGTTAGGGGTAGTCCTGCTTTGAGCAGGGGGTTGGACTAGGTGACCTACTGGCGGTCCCTTCCAGCCCTAACTTTCTACAATTCAATGACCAGTATTGCCTGTGGAATTAAATTGCTGCAGGATGCTGAAACAATTTAAAAAGCTATCACAATTACAGGGGTGGAAAATACTCACATCATTTGTACTGTAATTGTATACAATTTGAAACCAGTGTTACTAGCCAAAAATTGTTATACAACTTCTCAGACCATATGCTACTAAAGAGGGCCAAGGAGGAAAAGAAAAAAAACCCCACACTCCAACTAGTTAAATTCCAGCATCATTTCCATCTGTTTATTTTAGCAGCTGTTATCAAGTAATAGTTATGCCAGAAAAGTAGCACACAGACCCTTTGTCATAGGGACCGTTAATCTAAAACCTAAGAGAACAGGTGACCCTTATACCATGTCCTCTGACTGACAAATCTTCTTTATGGCCACCTGTCAAAGCTATAGCTTGGCAGACTCCTTTGGAGAGCACCAATCTACTGGTCCTATGGTTTCAGAGCCTCTTACTGGATTTTAACTGCTATGAGAGCAGGCAGTGGACAATCTCACAAACAGACAGGTCCCAATCCATTTAGTATCCCACAGTCCTGCTCCCCCAGAGGCATCCAGATTAGAGGCTTAGACTGGTACACAAAGTGCCAACTAACTATGGCATACACTGGGAGGTACTCTGCTGGGAAGTCACAAAGCAGAACGCAGCAGTATCTTATCAACAAGACTATATCTGATCTTGGAAAAGATTGTTCACTTCTGGGGACCTTACTGCAAGGCACTGGCAGGTTAAAGGAAGTCAGAAAAAAAAAAAACAACAACAAAAGACCAAGGAACAAACACAGACACATTGAAGGAAGTCAACAAAACAACAAAAGCTTGGGGAAGATGTGCACATACACACACACCAAAATTAATAGGATACTTTCTTGTCAGGCTACATAACTAACAGAACTGGCTGGTGGGAGAAAATACCATAATAGCATACACATGTTGGAAGAGAGTGCACAGTACAGAGGTTGTTGTATGGGACAGCCACATTAAGGAACATTAGGCTGCAGTAAAAAGAGGGGGGAAAAAAAAAACAACCTATTCATCTGTGAAAGTCTCCCAAAGAAGAAAGGGGAACCTCACTCACCATGGTTACCCCAAGACTGGATTAAACCTGGAGTAGTCCTAAGTACAGCCCTGCCCTGGCACCAGATATGGATGATTTAAATAAATAAAAACGTGTGGAGTCGACTTCTGTGCAAAGCCGAAGGCCTGCCCACCCCTCTGCTCAGCCCTTGAAGCCTGGCAGCTCACTGAGGGCAACCCCCCCATGCCAGTGGGAGACAAACTCCTTCTACCCGGGGAAGAAATGCATCTCCATGAGCCAGTCCTTTCCTTGCAGTCACAGCTGCCCGGAGCCAGTCTAAGCAGGCAGCAGGAACAGCTTCCCCCTGGGCTGGCTCCCAGCAGAGGCCAGAGACCAGATAGAGGTGCTGGGGAGGGGACAGCCCCGGCCGTGATGGAAGGCTAGGCAGAGACAGGCTGCTTGTCGACAACAGATCTGGGACACAGGACAGCCAGGCTCGTCGAGCTTAGTCTCCAAGGGCCCAGCCGAGCAGGCACAGGCGCTGGCCGGCCTCCCCGGGCCCCGGCGCGCCGCAGCCTCGGCCGGCGGCCACGTCAGTCCCGCGAGGGAAACGGCCGCCTCGCGCCCAGGGGCTTCC